CCTCATGTGGAACTGTAGGATCAGCACTGACTGCTAACTAAAATGTTCGTGGTTCAAATCCACCAGCTGTCCCTCGGAAACCCTGGAACAGAATCGCTATGAGTCAGAACTGATATGACGGCACTAAGCAACAACAACAACATAGGGCTTACTTTGCTCTATCTTTTATTATGGCTATTTGTGCATAGTACCTCAAATATCCCATGATTCAACTGTAAATACTTTGAGAGCAAGAACAATGACTTACTCATTTTTCTATCCCAAGCAACACCAAGCCCAATACCTTACATACAGTAGGTTTTCAGATGATGTTTTCTGAATTGTACTCTGATAGTCTCCTACTTTCTGTGAACAGAACACTGTATCCCCATATCCCTATCACCACACCTATGATCTAACTTAGTTATAGCTTTAAACTATTAATGTTAAATTGCATTCACCAGTACTAACTGGAATCCTGGTGTGCAGCTATAGGATAAGCACTGAACTGATAACTGCCAAGCTGGTGGTTCAAACCCACCACCAATTCCTTGGAAATCTTATACAGCAGGGGTGGGGAACTTTTTTTCTGCCAAAACTTACAACATCATTTGCAGACCATACAAAATTATCAATTTAAAATTTAGCCTCTTAATTTGGGCAGTGAATTACTACATCCCCAGTAAATGTTTGGATCTAATCCAATTATTTCATAAAATGCTTTGGTAGCTTGGTTCAAACTTGGAGTTAGAAACAGGGCTATGATGAAAATTCAGATCTCCATTTGAATTTCCACTATAAGTCCACTCGTACCAAACTAAAGATATTCTGAATCAAGACAGTGGGTTTTCAGATGCACCCGATCCTACAGTTCACAGCCAGAAAGGAAAGACTGAGTGAGAAAAATTGGTGGCCATCTTTCCCTGTCTCATGCTGCCAACCTGAGCCAGTAACAGTGTTCTAACAATGATGATCTGGTTTATGATACCTACGCTAATGCACTGGACTGCAAAGTCAGTTTGAACCCAAAGGTTGGCAGTTCAAGCACAGCAGCTGCTCCTTGGAAACCCTATAAAGGGTCGCTGTGGGTCGGAACCAACTCGACAACACTTAATAACAATTACCAAAAAGGTTGATCCAGATTTTGGTAACCCTGTCTAGGGAAAAAGAGTCCTAGTGGCACAGTGTTCTAAGTGATTGGCTGCCAACCAAAAGGTTGGAAGTTTGAACCCACCCAGCCACTCTGCTGGAGAGAGATGTGGCAATCTGCTTCCATAAATATTTACTTGAGAAATTCTATGGGGCATTTACACTCCATTCTATATGGTTGCTATCAGTTGGAATTGACTTGAAGGGTTTGGTTTGGTTTGGTTTGGCCTTTGTAAAAGGTTACTTAAAGTTCATCTTAAATTCTCAATGTAAACACCAAATCCAAAAGATACAGGGAAGAAAACCTCTTGGTTAAAATGTCCTCATTCAAGAATGCAAAGTAAGTATTCACAGTTCTACTGTGGCACACATGGGTTCACCACGAATCAGAATTAACTTGGAAAAAAAAAAAAGTGCTCAAATGCTCCTGTAGCTTTTTTTTTAAGCAATAATCAAATGTTTCAGTGCTGAACTTGAGTCCAAGAGAGAGGTTAAAAAGGGACATACATGTGACTTATCCAGTTCCCCTAAGAGGCAGCCAAATTCACATTCTAACCAGAGCTACTGTGTAACAGGTTCTAGGTCTAGTCCTTAGATTCCAATTCCATCATTGTTTTCTCACTGTCAGCCTTACTGCTCTATCCATCTTAATCTGTAAAATATACACAAAAAGCAAACTAATGACACTAACCTTCAGTTTAACAGAGAAATAATTTATTTATAAATATCAGGTTGTTGTTGTTATTGTTAAATGCTGTCAAGTTTGGTTCCAACTCATATTGACTCTGTATAGGGTTTCTGAAGAGCAGCTGGTGGGTTTGAACCACCAACCTTACAATTAGCAGTCTAGTGCTTTTCCTACAGCACCACAACAGGACTTCAAAAATATTATAGTTACATAAAATATTTCCAGCTATCCTATTCCCTTCTCCCTTAGAGCTTTGCTGTTGTTGTTGTTAAGTACTGTGGAGTCGGTTCTGACGCATAGAGACCCTGCACAGGGTTTCCAAGGCTGTGAATCTTTATGGGGGCAGAAAGCTTCATCTTTCTCCCGTGGAACGGCTGGTAGTTTCGAACTGCTGACCTTGAGGTTAGCAGCCCGATTCATAACCACTTCGCTATCAGAGCTCCTTTTGTTGTTGTTAAGCACCGTCGAGTCGGTTCTGACTCATAGCGACCCTGAACAGGGCGAGGCTGTAAATTATGGGAGCAGAAAGCCTCATCTTTCTTCTGTGGAGTGGCTGGCAGTTTTGAACTGCTGACCTTAAGGTTCGCAGCCCGATTTGTAACCACTATGCTACTTTTAGACAATAGTGAACTCACCTTCAATTAACAAAAGAGATTAATCAACCAAGGCAGTTCCCAACTGGTATAACATTTTTATCTTTCTGGAAACTATCTATAAAAGGCAATGGGTGGTACTGTAAGATATGCACTAGACTGCAAGATTGGCAGTTCAAACTCACCAGCAGCTCCTTGGAAACACTATACAGGGTTGGTATGAGTCGGAACCGACTGGACAACACTTAACAACAACAAAGGAATACGTTAGTGACACTATAGGATAAGTACTGGATTGCTGGAGTCCTGGTGTGGTGGTGGTAGGTAGTGGTTGTGTGCCTGGTGTGATGCTGTGGGTTAATGTGCTGGAATACAAAATTGGTTTGAACCACAAGTTCAAACCCTATACAAGATCGCTATGGGTTGAAACTAACATGAAAGCACTTAACAACAACAACAGATGGACTGCTAACTGTAAAGTCGGCAGTTCAAATCTACCAATCATTCCCCGTAAACCCTATACAGGGTTGTTATAAGTCAGAATGACTCGAAGGCACTTAATAATAATAAGGAATAAATGAACAGAATAAATTACATTATTCAATCTAACAACGAATTAAAAAGAACCTATTAGTGGGTTACAAGTTGGGCTACTAACTGCAAGGTCAGCAGTTCAAATCTGCCAACTGCTCTGTGGGAGGAAGATGAGGCTTTCTACTCCTGTAAAGATTAACAGCCTCAGAAACCCTACACAGGGTTGCTATGAGTTGGGACCGACTCAATGACACACAACCACCAGTTATAGATAAAGGTCTCTGGATGACAAGAGCGGTTTGTGATCAGATTTATGAATGCATCCAGCGAAGTTGTTGAACAAAGGCCTCAGGTGACCTGCTTCCATAAAGATCACAGCCAAGAAAACCCTATGGGTTGTTCAACTCTTACGTAACACAGAGTTGCCATGAGTTGGAATCAACTCAGTGGGTTTTATTAAGGGTAGGGAGTCCCTAGATGGTGTAAATGGTTAATGTACTCTGTTGCTAACCAAAAGGTTAGAGATTCAAGTCCACCTAAAGGAACCTCAGAAAAAAGGTCTGGTTATCTACTTTGGAAAAATTAGTCCTTGAAAACCCTATGGAGAAAACAACAAAGTGTGTGATTTGTTGAAAGTAAAACTTATGACCTGCGCTGTAAATCTTCATTCAATTCACATTAAAAGACAACAAAACAAAACAACCCTATAGAGCCCCAGTTCTACTCTGACATATATAGAGTCACCATGAAGTCAGAATCAACTTGACAGCAACTGTGTTTTATTTTTACTTTTTGAAAAAAGACGGCACAGAAGACAACAAAATGAATCAAGTTGCCTTGCTCATCAAATACGGTCGTTCCTGCAACATAGAAAGTGCCTTCAGGTACAAAGTTCTCTGGGAAGGAATGGTAATCACTTCATTTCAATTTCAAACCTTCAGATTAAAACCTTCATTCAGGTCAGGGACACCTGTAGTGAGGGAGCCTCAAGTAAGTAAAAGCACTCCAGTGAGATCTGTGGAACTGGACACGACTCCAAGACACTACCTACTGATCCACAGCATACCTACGTCAGGTTCACCCTGCGATTGTTCCAAGAATTTAACTTCGTTAACTAAAGAAATATTTATGTAAGACACAGGGTGGGTGGAAACTGGAGGTGCAGGAGACGGAAACAACTGATGTTGACTTAGGGACGGTGGCAAGAAGATTCAGCAAAACCCAGGCCAAGATTGGGGCCGGGGATTTTCAGTCTCCAAAGTTTCACCACCACACCCCCCACCACACCCCCAGACTGAATACTCCAGTTCCACAGCACCTCAACTGCTAGAGATTATGTGGGGACTAGACAGAAAGGGGACTTCTCTGATGGTGTGTACCAATCTCACAGTAACTAACCTCTCCATAAAGGCACACAATGCTTAAAGGCTGGTAAGGTTCCTGGTCATCAATTTACTAAATCCTGAAACAAGGGACAAAGAGTTCAGCACTTTACTTTCTGGTGTCCTATTTGCTCCTTTTGCTGCAAACCCTGAGATTATGAGGACACCAGGATTGAATTCGATGACCTCTAAAGTCTAAAAACTTCGTGACCACCCCCTACTGGGAAGCGCTGGACAAAAATCACTGTTGAACAAATAACGAGGTCGGAGACAGAGGGCAAGGGGATCATCAGGCTAGTTTGATAGATGAGAAACTAAGGCACTGAGCACCCTGCCCCAAGGTCAATCCAGTATGTCACAGCGGGGGTCAGGCCAGGAGTTCAGGTCTCCAGGTTTCCAGTCCTGGGCCCTTTCTCCGCAGAGAAGAGTAGCGAGGAGGGTCCTCGTCTTGGAAGGTACAGGGTCCACGCCAAGGTTACGAAAAAGAGCAGAGAAGGCCTTACCTTCCCAGGTCCAGTCCCGCCACTGACGCTTCCTCAGAGAACCTTAGTCCGTAAACCCTCACGACTCCTCAGAAGCCCCCTCCAGCTCTGCCCGGATCGACGTGTCCACGACCGCCACCGAAGCCGCCGATTCCAGCCCCGGCCCCGCCCCCTATCCCGTCAACCAATCCTTATGCAGAATTTTGGAGCTCCACCACCTCTGCGGCCTGGGAAAGGTCTTACGTCACGCGGCGCGCGTGCCCGAGGAATCCTCCCATTTGTCTTTGCTCCACCTTCTCCAGAACCTAGGCTCCTCCAGATCTGCGACAGTCCTCCTTGCCGGAAAGCAGCACGAGACCGCGGCATTTTACGACGACGGAGTGACACCTTTGAAAAATTCCGACTGCTTCTCCGTAGCCGGGCGAACGCCAGCGCGATGTTCGGTGCAAGTGATGAGGACGACACCGATTTCCTCTCGCCCAGTGGCGGGTGAGTGATTGCGAGGCGTGGACCGGTAGATCCGGCTGAGAGAACCCGGCAGATGGTTGTAGGGGTCGATCTCCTCCGGCCTTTTCCCAACTTCCGGATCCAGATCCTTACTATATTCTGTTGTGTACCTCTCAGAAGGGAGTACGGTAACTCTGGAATAAGGTCTTGATTGCGACCCACAAGGTCGGCGGTTCGAGCTCTTTGGTAGCTCTGCGGGAGAAAGATGAGACTCTGCTCCCACAGAGATGTACAGCCCCGGAAACCCTATGAGTCGAACCAACTCAGGGACCTTAACACATCCCTCAGAATTCAGGCAGAACTGTACTGAGCTAAGAGCTGGGGTCTACACTCAGCACACCTAAATCACAGTAGGACGCTAGGGCTCACATTTTAGTTTCTCATTCTAGAACTGTAGTTCCTCCCTCTGTGAAATAGGGGCGGTTGTAAATGACGATGTTTGCCTCATGGTTTTTCTAGGAGTCAGTTAGGGCCACACAGGAGACTCCGTGGACAAGGCAGTGAAAGTTGAGAACTAGGCTTTGACAGATCAGGTCCAGATCCATATCCAGCTTCCTTCTAAGGCCATCTTGAATGTCACTGTTTTTGATGCTTTCCCTATTCCCACGGCCCCGACAGAATAAAGTGCTTTCCCGACAGAATAAAGTGCTTTCTTTTCTTTATTCCCACAGCTAGGTGTGTTTGCCATTATCCTTACACATCAAGCCATAATTGCTTCTTTGCTGGACCCCTCATTAGATTATGAGCCCTGACAGAACACAGATTGCTTGTGTTCCTCATCTCTGCCTAGAGCCCATCACCTGGCACATGGTGAATGCTCAAGAAGTGCCCTTTGAATGAAAAATACCTGAGACACTATTGTTGTTAAGTGCCCTGTGTTCCAACACACAGTGACCATGTATAGAATTTCCAAGGAACAGCTGGTGAATTTGAACTGCCAACCTTGGAGTCCAGTGCACAGCGCCTCTAAAGCTTGAAACCAATGTAAGAAGCCGTGGTTGCTTTCTCTAACCCCCAAACCTTGGCCTTATCAGCTACTCGGGATTGGAGTCTCCAAAGTAGGATCACTTTGTCTCTTCCAGTAGACAGTTACCCTCCTCCCTGGGTCAGCGAACAATTTGACTTCCTCTAAACTCTTGAGCTAAGGAGCTCTGGTAGCTTAGTGGTTACAAATCGGGCTGCGAACCGCAAAGTCAGCAGTTTGAAACTACCAGCTGCTCCGTGGGAGAAAGATGAGGCTTTCTGCTCCTGTAAAGATTTATAGCCTTGGAAACCCTGTTCAGGGTCACTCTGGGTTGGAACTGACTTGATGGCACATAACAATAACAAACTCTTGAGCTGGAGTCCTGGTGTGGTGCGGTGGGCTAATGCATCAGATTGTAAAGTCATTTGAACTGCAAGATTGTGGTTCAAGTTCACCAGCTGTTCCTTGGAAACGCTATATATGGTTGTTATGGGTTGGAATCAACTCGAGGGCACTTAACAACAACAACAACAAACTCTTGAGCTGTCAAACTCTGCTCTTATATATGTGTACATGCTGAAAAATGAAAGAATGCAACAACTATGTGTATGTCCATCATTATACTAACTGTTAAGGAATTCCAAAGATGATGAAGCTGCTGTGCCTCCTCTTAAGTTGCTTCCAATCCTGTTAAAAAGTCCATTGCATGAATGATACTGGTTTGCTTTTGGTTTTAAATAGAATGGTTTGATTTATACTGTGACTAGTCCCATATTGAGCCCTGGTGTGCGCTGTAGGATAGCAACCACAAAGTTGGCAATTCAAACCCACCAGCTACTCTTGGACTTCCTGTATAGGCTTGCTATGAGTTGGAACTGACTTGCTGACACTTAACAACAGCCCACATTATAACTTCTTAAGTTTTCTTTTCACTCTTAATGTTCTGCTGCAACTCTACCTCACCCACCCCACTTTACATGGCCTACATCCACTTAGTTCCACTTTGTGCACTTTGAGTTATTTTAGTTGCTCAGTTATTTCAAAATTAAACTGTGCTTTAGTTCCATTCTTCCCTGTTCCACCCATAATGTTCACAAGTTTCCACACATCAACCTTCCTGCAGCTTTTGACTGTGTGCTCACCTCTTCAATTAGTTCTTTTCTATATAAACCTGTTGCCTACATTGTGTATTAGATCTTTTGAAAGTTTCTAGGGTATATTTTACATATACATTCTTAATTAGGTAGGAAAGGAAGGCTGGGAGGGAATGTTAAGGCAAGCAGTCCACTGCTGACTCAAAGTTACAGGGTAGATAATGACAATTATGTGCTCTTTCCAGATTCCTGGCCTAAGATAAGTTCTTGGTGGCTCAACTATGCTGTTTTCTGAGTAGCCTCATTAAGAAACAAGCATTTTAATTCTAAGCAAATGATTGTGCTTTAGATGTAGATAATACCCAGTTTGATGATAAGAAGCTTAGCAAAGAAGGTTAAACAGATCATTTACTTTCCCTCTAGCAATAGCCAGGAAAACCAAATCAAATTTAAAATTGAGAATATACAAAGTTTAGCAATTCCTTCCTTGGTTTTATCTAAGGAAGTAAAACATATGACAATGAATACTACAGCTACCTCTCAGTTCCTCTTTTATGATTGAAATTCTTTTCCTTCCTTTAAATGTTATGCTTTCATAAGCCAATGCAGCATATAGTCTTATATATTGCATAACTGTAATTTACTGTAAATATACTTACATATTTTAAATTTTTGATAATGTATCTTGCTGAGAATATACACAGAAAAACATACCCATCCATAGTGAATGGGGTCTTAAAAGCTTGTGAGTGCTCATTTAACATGCAACTGTTGGTCTCTCCCCACTTGGAGCAAAGAAGCATGAAGAAAATCAAAGTTGCAAGGAAACGGTCTAAAGGATTACAAACCACGTGAATGACGGCCCCCACTTCCCTGAGACCAGAAGAACTAGGTGGTTTCCAGCTACTACTACTGACCGCTCTGATAAGCATCACAATAGAAGGTCCTAAACAGAGTAGAAAAAAATGTAGAAATAAATTCAAACTTACAAGAAAAATCAGGCTTATTGATCTTACCGTGATTGGTTGTGTTTTAAGTGCTGTTGAGTCAGTTCCAACTCATAGCGACCTATAGCGTTTCCAAGGAACTGCTGGTGCATTTGAACCTCTGACTTAGGGTTAGCAGTCCAGTGCTTATCACACCAGAACTCCAGATACGGACTGTTATGTTATTAAGTGCTGTCAAGTAGGTTCTGACTCAGAGCAACCTTATGTAGGGTTTCCGACTGGTTGTTGTTGTTAAGTGCCGTTGAATCAGTTCCAACCCATAGTGACCCTGTATAGGATTTCCAAGGAGAGCTTGAACGGACAACCTTGCAATTCAAACAGCTTTGCAGTCTGGCACATTAACCCACAGTGCCATACCAGGACTCAGGCCCTTTGACTCCCATCAAGCCAGAACCAGAACCTACCCTTGAGGACCAACCATGGATAGGTCCATAATGTGAATAATAAAATCAGGGAGGAATATATTCCTCAGAATAATCAGTCAAATGTGACCAAAAGTGCATCATTTTCCTCAAAACAAAGCTGCAAAGGCAGGAAGGGGCAGGAAAGGAGGGTGAATGGAAACAGGAAACCCAGGATGAAGAGGGAAGAGTGCTGTTCTATTGAAAGGAATGCAACCAGTGTCACAAAACAAAATGCCTATAAATGGTTGAATGGAAAACCAATTTGCTTTGTAAACTTTCAACCCTGCCACAATAAAAATATGCATCTATATATACCAATACCATAGTTTCTATATATATTTTGGTGATATTGATTACATTTTTTTGAATTGTGCAGTCATTTTCACCCTCCTTTTTTGAATTATTTCTATTACCATAAACTCACTGCTCCCTAACTATGCTTACTTATTAAGTTTCAAATGCCTTGACTGAAATATATAGCTTACTTGATTTCATTTAGGATATTTAAGCATAATAGACATAGAAGTGTTAGTGCTTTTTGAAAAAGATGAACTACTTTAAAGATGGGAACTTGAGTGGGTCTGTAAACAGCAGCCATAAAGAAATATAAGAAAGTCTTTGGTTGCCCTGACTTTAGTTACCTAATGGAGTCCTGGTGTGGTACTGTAGCATAAGCACTGGATGACTAACTGCAAGGTCAGTGGTTCAAACTCACCAGCTACTCCTAGGAAACTTTATACAGGGTCGCTATGAGTTGGAACCAACTTGATGGCCCTTAACAACAACAACAGTGCTGCTATAAGAGAAATACCGCAGGTAGATGGAGTTAACAAAAATTTATTTTCTCAGAAACTGAATTCAGGGTTTTAGCCCTAGAGGAAGGCTTTCTGTTTCTACTCTGAAGGGAATTCCTTGTCTACTTTCAACATCTTGGGCCCTGGATTCCTTGGCGGTTTCCATGTGTCTTGGTGTCAATCTTCGCCCGGGTCTAGATGCTTCTCAAGACAGGGTCTCCAGGTCCAAAATATACACCCCACTTATACCTCTTCTTTCTTGGCACGAATCAAGCCCCTCCTCTACTCGCTTTCTTGTAAGATATGAGGCAAAGCAGGCCACAGACTTAGTTCCCTAACATGGGTTCAGGGATGTGACCTGAGTAAGGGTGTTGCATCCCACCTTAATCTCCTTACAAATGAGTGCCTGATCACATTAGATCACATCATGAGGCTTGATCACATCATTATATAACTGCTAAACCACTGAGAATCATAGTCCAGACAAGCTGACATGTATTTGGAGTCGGGGGACACAATCCAATTCATGACAGAAGTAGACTGCTGCATCTTTTTTCCGGCAGAACAGCTGGTGGGTTTGAACTGCTGACCGTCATGTTAGCAGTCAAATGCTTAACCACTGTGCCATCAGGGCTCCTTGGTGGCAAAAAATATTTAGCCAAGGACAAAATTCAGAAGGTAAGAAAGAAGGAGGAGTGGAAAGAGGAAGCACAGGGAGG